TAGACTCTCTGACCGTGGGTTCATTAAAAACCCCCCGTGGGAAAGGTTTGTTTGCCCAAACTTTTCCCCTTATGATTTCGTGAGTCAAAGGATAATTAATTTTACATGTGTTACAATGCAGCTAAAAAGTTAAAAATTGTTTTATTTACAAGTTTTTTTGTGTGGATGTTTTTTCAAATTTGGGGGAAAATTTCCCGTATTATAGTACATAGGGGGGGGGGATCAATAAGTAAATAAAAAAAAAAACCCCCGCCCCCCGTGTTTATTGAAAGGGGGAGCACAAAGGCCCAAAAGGGCGATTTTGTCGTTTTGGGTTAAAAAAGTTTTTTCTGCATTTTTTAAAGGGGGTTGACGAAAGAATTTTCAGGGCCCCCTGAAGGTTAAAAAAATTTTTTGTACCCTTTGTAAAATAACCAATTAGTTGGACCCCGTCAGAGGGCCCCTATTTTTAGCAAAAAACTGGGCACCCCTTTCCCTTAATGACGATGTTTGAGTATTTTTTTTAACAGCCTCTCCCACCCAAAGGGGGGGTGATCCAAAAAGAAAAAAATTCAAAAAACAGTCCGTTTAGTTGCCATCTTTCCAAAAAAAAATGCTGACACCAAATCAGATTACTTTTCAACTGTTCCCTCCCACCCCTCCTTCAGAGTGCATGTTCTGCCTTCCCACTGGCTAACCGTTTCATGAATCCCCCAACATAAACCCCCCCGAAAACAGGGGTGCCAAGAGATACTAAGAGGGGGGAAAAAAAAATTTAAAGTTTGGGGCCCCAAAACTATTCAAAAGTTTCCTATTAAACATCAGGGGAAAAATTTCCCAAAAGACCCCGGCTTGGGCTTCAAGAGGAAACTGGCAAATACCTAAAGCAGTTTCCCGTTTTTTTGCCGGGGTGTGGGGGTTTTAATTGGGGTTGCATTTAGCCAGCAGTAAAAGGGTTTTTTTGTTTAGACCGATTCACCAGGGTGCCTGGTCCAAAGGGCTGAGCCCCAAGGGGGACTTTAAACCCGGAACAAAATCCAGGTAAATAAAAGTTTTATTGGTCACCCAAAAAAGGGTTTTCCCTATGGATCATAAAGCAAAAAGTATTGTTAAAGATCAATAAAAAAGACATTACGTTCTTGGTTTTTCCCATTCAAAAATTAATGGAGCCCCAAACCCCAAAAGGGGTTTTTTATAAAAAAAAAAAAAAATTGCTTGTTTACAGTGGGTGCTGAGGTGATCTTGTATTTACCCTTTAACTTTCTGATGAAGCAAACCCCCTATGGGAAAAAAGCTTCTGAAATGCAAAACACCCCAAAAATTGCTGGCGGTTTTTTTTTACCCCAGCAGCACAGACCTAAATTAAAAATTTTTAAAAATTTTTACTTTCAAATTTCTATAAATAAAAGGATAAAAGGGAGAAAGGGCTAGTTTAACCCTTCTATTGATAAATTACAAATTTTTAAAAGGGGGAAAAATTTGGTTTTTCTTTTTAAGTCCCCCCCCCCTGCCTCAGTGGGATACGGCTGGGCCCCCTTTGAAAAAAAAAAAAGGATAAAAATCTTAAATTTCTGTTCTTATTTCTTAAAAAAAAACTTTTTCTTCCCCCATTTTTTACCAAAAATGAAAAGAGTATAATACAAATGAATTTATATGAAAATACTAAAAGTTTAAAGCAAAGTACGTGCTACTCATTTTGTAGCTTACTTCACCTAAGAATGCCCCCTTTTCTTTTAATAGATATTAAAATATGAAGATTCCGTTTTCCCTTACATTTCCCTTTCCAAATACAAAAAAATGCACGGGGGAAAAACTTGTATTTTTTTAAAAAAAATTTTACAAATAGTTTATGTATTTCCCAATTAATTTTCTTTTCCTGGGGGGGGTAAAAAAAGATTGATTCAAGAAGGGGAGAGTAGCTTTTAATGCCTGAAATTTTTAAAATCCTTCAAAAGCCCTTTAAAGCCCCCCCTTATTCCCTCTGAAAAACCCGAAACACAGCGCAGGTTGGGTTTTGCAAAAGGGAAAGGAAAAATGCAAGGTGATGAGGAGGGTGAAAGGGGAGGAGTGTTGTAAAAAAGGTTTAATAGAGCAAGGGGAGTGCAAGGGGAAAAGGGGAAAGTTTTAAAAAAAGCAAGAGGCGGGGCATGTAAAGTTGTTTTGAGGCTAGTAGAGGGGGGAGGGGTTAGTGCAATTTAAAAATTGATGTTTAAAAGGGGTTTGTTTCAATTAAAAAAAAGTGAGAGTCTGCATCAAAGGTGGGACTTTCAGCAAAGAGGTCAGTGAATGAATGTTGGGGGAGTTTTTTGAGGTCAGGGAAAACGATCCTGTATTCACTTAATAAAAAGGACACTGAGATATGTTGAAAGGAATTCCGTCCTGACAGTCCCCCAGGGTGGGTTTGGGGTTTTTTTCTTTTAGTGTTTTTTTTACTAAATTCCCCCTGTTAGTTTTAATGAAAATTTTAATTAATCTGGAACAAATTTGGGCCCTTTTTCCCGCAGTTCTACCCCCCATTTGTTTGCTGGAAAAAGGAAATTTACTGTGAGGCCTGTTTTCCCATGAGGGGTGTGAACTTCCCTACAACTAGAATTTTTTCCCGTGGGGAAAAAGCTGGTGTGTGGCCCAAACAGTTGATTTAGCCCTTTAAAAAGGTGGTTTCATGGTGAATTTTTAGGCCAACAAATAATGTGTGTTCTAGTATTTCTGAAAAATTTGCATGGTTTCCCCGCATAACCCCGTATGTCTTTTCATTTTAAGGGTTTTAAATTTAAATTCAGGCCTTCTTTTACTTAGCAACATACTATTTCCCGGGCACCTCAGACTTTTTAGGGTTTCTGACCCCGTTTTTATACCTAAGGAATTTATGTTAGAGCTGATTTCCTCTTTTTGATTATTTCAAAATATAGTGGAACCTCGGCCCTTTTGAATTTTTAAACCTTCCGTGAAACCCTTTTTGTATCCCGATTTGTTCGTTAAAGCCCTTTGTCAATTTTCCTTATTTTAAAAAAAATTTAATTTAAATTTGGGATTAGTCCATTCCAGCGAAATTCCCGCTCTCAGGAGGCCGACAAAAAGCTTCAATTGTTTCTTTAAAATCAACTCTACGCCTTTTTTTTATTTACATTTATCACAATTCATTTTAATTTTACCGTCCCCTCAAAGGGAAAGACAACAGGTGATCATTGTCGGGTGTTCAGAATTCTTTGATTTTAAACTTTCCCTTTAAATCCAAATTAAACCAGTTTAGTTGGTTTAAAAAGAAAATGTCAAAAGCTTATTTTCTTGGGGCGTTTATTCTGTTTGTGGGGTTGACCGTGAAAGGGCCTTTCCTTGTATGGGCCAAAAATTTCCTACTGCAGTGTTCCTCCTTTTTTATATTTGTTCCCCGACACCAAATAATGAAACCCCCCCCACTCATATATTTTTCCCCAAATTTTTTTTTAAAGCTACCCAAGGTTCTTCGAAAACTAAAATCTTGGGGTTTGTTTCAAATTTTTGGTTGGGTAAAAAACGGGTGAAGGGGTTGGGGTTTGAGTGGGACTTGGGGCATGGTAAATGAATTATTAAAAGCTTACTGCTTGGGTTTGCATTGAAAATTCAGTTGGGGAAACACTCTGGTTGTGGGTTTTGGGTTTTTTGAAGGACCCGCCTAGTATGGGCCAACGGCCTGCTGCGTTTTTTATTATTATTTTTTAGTAAATTTTTGTAAATGTTTCAGTGAGGGGCGGTTGGAGGAGTGGGATGTTTTCCCGTCTAAGAGAATGTATGGGGTAAATTTTTTATGCAGAAAATTTGGAGTGGGGGAAAATTTGGAGAGGTAGTGGGTTAATTTAAAAATATTAGGCCCGAGGGGGTTTTAAGAGGGTTTGTTTAGGTGGTTTGGTCCCTTTTGAGAGAATGGGGTCAAAATAGAAATTGGGGATTTGGGGGGGAAGGCGGGGGAGGGGTCGTCCCGGGAAAAGGGGTTTGGGGGGGGGGTAAAGGAGGTGTTGTGGGCGAGGGGTTTTGGGCTTCCCGCAAAACGTGCGTGAGCGTGTTGATAGGGGGTGAATGGAGACAAAGGTATTTGGGACCCGACGATTTTGGTTGGGGGTGAAAAAAAGGGGAATATTTAATGAAAAGGGTTTTTGGGAAAAACCCGGGTTTTTTTATATAACCGGGGTTGAGTCCTGGGGAAAAGGGAAAATACAATGCCTTTCACTCTAAAGGAAAGGGGGGTTTGGGGTTTTTGGGAGGGTTTGGAGATAAAATATTTTTGTGTATTTTTTTTACGGTTTTTTCCTTTTTAAAATGTTGTATTCTGGGTACCTCTGCAAAAAAAAAATTTTTTATTTAGGGGGAAATGGAGTACGATCCCCAAATTTCCCCCGATCAAGGCCCCCCCCTTGAGGGGGAAAGGGTTTGGGTCCTGAAATTCCCTTTTATATCCAAAAAGCAAAAAAAAAAAGGGCGAGTGGAAAGTTGTATCCCGAAAAAAAATTTACCCTGGTGGGGCATTCTTTAAACTGAGGTTCCACTGTACAGTACACTACTGTATTTAAACATTTTTAAAAAAATGCCTGAAAAAGTTACAAAAAGGTGCAAAAAGGGGCAAATTTAAAAAAAAATCAAAGATGGTTGACACAAAACCCCCTACCATTGTAGTAGGCTCCTCCTTAGCAATGAATTTGTTTTTAAGACATTTTTCTTATGAACAGAACTACGTTCATTAAGGAGGGGGGGCTGTTTTACTGGTTTTTTTTTTGTATTTTTATCTAGGTTGTAGGTTGGGCTGACGCAAACCCCCCAGGGAGGTTCTATCGTCTTTTTCCAAAATGAATGTTTAAAAAGGAAAATGTTTAAATTTTTTTAAAATGATGGTTTGTATTGCTTGGTGTCTTTTTTCGTCTCATAAAAAAGGGAAGATTTCAGGTATGTCTTGCATTCTACTTACAACTAAAGTAAAATCAAAATGCATTACAGGCTTTTACATACACACAAACCCCCTTTGGGGTATTCTATTTTTTTTATTTCTTGGTGGGATACTGCCGGTTTGTTGAAAGAAGAATTCAAAATGAAAAGCAAAAGTAAATAAAAGAGGGGCCTGGAGACATGACTAAGGGGTAGAGGAAATGTTTATTTAGTGCCAGGAATGTCTACAATGTTTATTCTGGATCCTATTTTCAAACTGGCAATTGCTGAATTTTGTGCAAAATTGGCCAAATTAGATTTCTGATCACTTTATTAGATAGCTGAAATATGTAAAAGAGCAGTTTCTTGTACTCATTCCATAGAAATAGCTATGAGTCTGGTCGACTGGAACAATGGAATTGGCCAAAAAAGAGCATAAATTGGGCGAAATTGCCGATGCATAAATATTGCCGAGACTACTAACTCTGCGAGAGCATTATTCCGCAAGTTTTTCATCAAATTTCGTACTTTTCATTTCATTACCTTTGGAAAAAGATTCTCTATCACTTAATTCTTTTTTTTTAAATTCTTCAACCCTGAGAGCAAGTTTGTGAGCAGGGGTCACAACACTGAAAGGGCTAAACACAATAGTTTTAGTGCAATAAATGGAGAATGCCTCTTCTGAGTGCTTTTAAACTTTCATGATTTTTGGATGCTGGATGTGTAAATACTAACGTGTTATTAAAGAAATTGGGATATTAGTTTCCATGCGTTAACTTATGAATGCATCTTCGACTGGTTTCAAATATTTGATGCAATATTTAACTGCATTAGAAACCTATGTCACATTAAGTTCTCTCTTGAGTGATTTGAGGTAGAAGGGGCTGGGCTAATGAGATATGAGGTTATTGTACCATTTTTGGACTGCACAATGACCAAAACCAACTTAAATTTAAAGCCAAGTAAAAAACAGTACTTCTGAATGCTACCATTATATTATTGTAATTTATAGTATTATACAAAATCTATTGGTTTAATGCATCAAAGGAAGCATTCCTTAATTTTTAACTACAGTCAAGTGCTTTGTACTGAAATTCATCATTAATATAAATTTCTTTTCACAAATGATGAACAATGAATATTGTGCACGATTAGAAATATCTGTTATTTGGCACTAAGTGTAAATGTTATATCTTTGCATTAAACTGTATTAAATGTTATATCTTTGCATTAAACTCGAATGGCTCATTTTGATAAAAATTTAATTAAAACCTCAAAAGTATAGTTTTAAGTAACAAAAATAATAAAGAATGTACTTAAATCTAGTAAAATGAACTCTTAACACTCCATTTTGATATCTCTACATTTATTAACAAGTTGTACTTCCTTGTACCTTACTAAAGTTGAGCACATATAATGAACAAATACCATAATGCTAAACCACTCTCAAAATTATGCGGTTCACATTACTTCTTTAAAACTAATAACTAAACAGATGTTATGAACATTAGTAAAAAAAAAAGGCAAGCTACCTTTAATGTAGGCAAATAATGTATCCACTGTAGTATAGAACAGTGTAATTTCATTAAATAGAAACCAAGTGACTGCTAAATATCTCAGTTCTTTACTGTAATATAGTATATGTACCTCTCATTTCTAGCATTCATATCAGCAAAATATATATTTATGATTGTGGATACATATGATCTAAAATTTGTTTTGGTTGTGACTAGGCATCCTAGTATCCATGATAGGAAATTTCACAGGTGTACTTGCAACCAAAATGTATATTTAACATTAGTGCACACCAGTCCTTAGATACATTTAAGAATTCAATACTGCCATGCATGTGTGTAAAAAAATTAATTTCTGATTTAAGACATCCAGTGGTGGAAAAAGACACACAGAGAAAAAAAAATTATTTTAACACTGTACCTAAAAGAGAGTATCAAGTGACAAAGCCTCTTGTAGGTGAAACATTTTAACAATAAAAGGTCTCCTTATGCTATATTTGTCTTCCTCCACCACTTGTCAGGTCACAGCCACACTCTAATCAAAGACAACCAGTAAGTGTGATGAATGGTTTGAAAAACCGACAAGTTGAAGATTGAGACACTTATGCAGCATATGGGAATCTTTATTCAGGAAACGTTTCGCCACACAGTGGCTTCATCTGATGAAGCCACTGTGTGGCGAAACGTTTCCTGAATAAAGATTCCCATATGGTGCATAAGTGTCTCAATCTTCAACTTGTCGGTTTTTCAAACCATTCATCACAACTGTCAGACACAGCAGCATCATGGGATCTTGTTACAAAGAATTCTTCAACACTTGTTCAACCTTTGGACGAAGACCTACTTTGACTAGTGGATGGTACCACTATGACCCCGCCTCCGCCTGCTTCACCTCACCTCACTACAGTATATAAGCCACGTCTACGGCCCTATGCTGTACATTCTACAAGATTGATGGACTGAACACATCGACTCCAGGTTGAGGGACTGATTACTTCATTCTCCTCCTCTCCTTACACCTTCCTCTTTGTATTGGACTGATGAAGCCACTGTGTGGCGAAACGTTTCCTGAATAAAGATTCCCATATGCTGCATAAGTGTCTCAATCTACAACCAGTAAGGATGAATTTACAATGTCAATGGTGCCACACAGGCACCACTGCAGCCAACAATAGTTACAGTTTACACAGAAAAACAATAGCTTCTTACTTTTCAGTATTAATGCATGATACCATAGTCATGCTTGAAAGAGAACTTGTGATATTTAATAAGTTTAAAATTTGACACTTCTCCCCAAAGCCCAAGACTAGAAAAGTTTATTCCCTAAAAATAGGGATATCTCACTAAAAGATGAACAAAAATAAATTATAACATATATACAATGTAGCCATATAAGCTAACAGCGAAGATGAACAAAAGTGAACATTCTCTAAAAAATCTGAATACATATATATGTGTATGTATGTATGTATTGGTGGTGCGTTGAGGTATATGTGGAGTCAAAAAAGGTTATCTATGGAGGCACAGAAGGGAATGTATGAAAGTATAGTAGTACCAACACTCTTATATGGATGTGAAGCTTGGGTGGTAAATGCAGCAGCGAGGAGACGGTTGGAGGCAGTGGAGATGTCCTGTCTAAGGGCAATGTGTGGTGTAAATATTATGCAGAAAATTCGGAGTGTGGAAATTAGGAGAAGGTATGGAGTTAATAAAAGCATTAGTCAGAGGGCTGAAGAGGGGTTGTTGAGGTGGTTTGGTCATTTAGAGAGAATGGATCAAAGTAGAATGACATGGAAAGCATATAAATCTATAGGGGAAGGAAAGAGGGGTAGGGGTCGTCCTCGCAAGGGTTGGAAAGAGGGGGTAAAGGAGGTTTTGTGGGCGAGGGGCTTGGACTTCCAGCAAGCGTGCATGAGCGTGTTAGATAGGAGTGAATGGAGACGAATGGTACTTGGGACCTGACGATCTGTTGGAGTGTGAGCAGGGTAATATTTAGTGAAGGGATTCAGGGAAACCGGTTATTTTCATATAGTCGGACTTGAGTCCTGGAAATGGGAAGTGCAATGCCTGCACTTTAAAGGAGGGGTTTGGGATATTGGCAGTTTGGAGGGATATGTTGTGTATCTTTATACGTATATGCTTCTAAACTGTTGTATTCTGAGCACCTCTGCAAAAACAGTGATTATGTGTGAGTGTGGTGAAAGTGTTGAATGATGATGAAAGTATTTTCTTTTTGGGGATTTTCTTTCTTTTTTGGGTCACCCTGCCTCGGTGGGAGACGGCCAACTTGTTGAAAAAAAAAAAAAAAATATATACACAATATATATAATATTCTCCATGGGGAAGTGGAACAGAATTTTTCCTCCGTGAGCCGTGCGTGTCGTAAGAGGCGACTAAAATGCCAGGAGCAAGGGGATAGTAACCCCTTCTCCTGTATATATTACTAAATGTAAAAGGAGAAACTTTTGTTTTTCCTTTTGGGGCACCCCGCCTCGGTGGGATACGGCTGGTGCTTTGAAAGAAAGATGTATGTATGTTATGTACGTATGTATGTATACTATATGTATGTATATATGTATGAACAGTGGAAGCTTGGTTTTTGTACGCCCCAGTTTTCATAGGATTCGGTTTTCGACGACTTTTTCCGTTGAAATTTTGTCCCAGTTATCGTACATCACCTCAGTTTTCGTCGAGTTGACAATGGTCTGTACCGAATGCACCCACCTGCCCGCCCGCGTCACTTGGCCACCCAAGCGCCAAGTGACTCGGTCTGCCTGTGTTTATCGTTGAGTGAGCATCACCCCGTGCGGGAAATAGTGTTTTGGAGTTAATTTGCAAAAAGGCATGGCACTTGATGGGCTGAGGCTAACCCTGATGACCCTACGCCTGTTGTTGAATCTATTGTGTCTTTGGGGAAACCCATGAGGTTGGATGTGAGTGGCCGTGGTCAGGATGTGGAAGAGTTTGTGGTCGACCACAGAGAAGAGCTAACCACTGAAGAGCTGCAACGCCTTCAACTGGAACAGCAACAGATTGCAGCTGAGGAAATTACTTCGGAGGAGGAGGAAGAGACCAGGGAGAATGTGCCATCTTCAGTGATTAAGGACATGTGCAAAGTAGAGTGAGTTGCAAAGTCTTGTAGAGAAATATCACCCTAACAAAGCTGTTGCAAGCAGTGTCTGCAACATGTTCAATGACAATGCCTTGTCCCATTTTTGGCAAATCTTAAAGAGATGTCAGAAACAGACCTCTCTGGACAGTTTTTATGTGCAGCAGGGGTACAGTGACTCTTAAGCTGATCCTAATGGCAGAAAAGACAAAGAAGGGAAGTAACCCCTGATAGGGCTTTGATACCTGAAGTCCTTATGGAAGGGGATTCCCCTTCCAAACAATAACCTCTCCCCTCCTCGTCGTTTTCCATACGCCAACAAGTCTTCAATAAAGGTAAAAGTTATATTAAATGTTCATTTATACATTTCATTAGTCATTTACATTTATTTCTCATTGTTTTCTGTATGTAAAACTATAGTTATTCTCTATAAAGTGTATCTTCTGTTAATATTTTTGGGTGTCTGGAACAGATTAATTGAACTTACATCATTTCTTATGGGAAATATAGCTTCAGTTTTCGCACAATTCGGTTTTTGTCAGACTTTCTGGAGCAAATTAATCACGAAAACTGAGGTTCCACTGTATACACATTGTAATGGTCTGGGCATATGGAGAGAATGATAAACAAGGTGATTTAAGAACAGAAAGAGACCACAGGCTTAAATGGTGCAGAATAAATGTCTTTAGAGGACACGCCTACAAAGCATTGTCGATCAACCTAGCTGTGGTACTTACGTTGAACTACAAGTATCAGCAGTCTGATTGATAACACCATCAACACAGCAACTGCCCAAAAGTCAGGCTGATGAAGTGGTAACCCCCATAACTGCCACAGAGTAAACACAAGATATAGGGTGAAAATTAAATGTCCAGTGTCTAGTTGTCTACAGGTCACACTCAATACAGCACTCAACAATGTTTGTATATGAGTCCTTTTTTAAACAGTTAAACACTGAGGTTGTATACATTCACCAGTAAAAACTTGATACACATTGTAACACTTCAGTATCTTGCCTTTACATGTTCATACGGTATACTGTATGTGTATTTGTAAGGAAAAAAAGAGATTATTAATGTGCATTAGGAAGAACTGAATAAAGCTTGGCAACAATACCATGATATTATGCTTATATCTTGATAAATTTTGGATTATTTAGACCAAGCTTAAAGTTGATATCTGACAGCACAATGGAATATTGCCTTTCTTTCTCTGCACTTATACCAGTCATAATATCTTCATCTACTTCCTCTTCTTTCTTCTCACCATTGTTATTATTTTTCTTCTTCTTCTTCTTTTTCTTCTCCTTCACTGGTTCATCATCTTCGTCCTCGTCCTGAAGATAATTAAAAAAAGTTATGCAACAAGAATCAAAAGTTTTTCTATCATAGTATTACTGTATATGCAATGAAATAGAAAATTAAAAGCTTTGCAGTATTTAAAAACTAGATACGGTACTTTAAAATTAAATTCAACTTGAGAATTGTACTGATCAACTTGAAGCAATGATATAAATAGGGGAAAGCTCTAAACCCATAGAGGTTATATAGTAACTGGAGAATGGAATGCAATCAGGTTCAATCCAAGAAAGAGGGCAATAGGTCCAGTTCCTTGGATCAAGAGCCCCTCACTGGCATCAAGGCATCTTGATGTTAGTGAGAGGCATTTTAGGCAGAGCAGTGAGGTAGCAAAACATTTTGAATCACATTCACCTGAACTGCAAGTTAAGGAAACAATTGCTCAAAATTTAAATGCACAATCACACTTAAGAAACACATTTTAATGAAACAACCTTTTAACAAAATTAAGACAGATAAATATAAAAGTCAAGGGACTAGTAACCCCTTCTCCTGTATTTTTTTTTTTTTTTTTCAACAAGTCGGTCGTCTCCCACCGAGGCAGGGTGACCCACAAAAAAGAAAGAAAATCCCCAAAAAGAAAATACTTTCATCATCATTCAACACTTTCACCACACTCACACATTATCACTGCTTTTGCAGAGGTGCTCAGAATATAACAGTTTAGAAGCATATACGTATAGAGATACACAACATATTCAAATGCCAAGTAACCCCTTCTCCTGTATATATTACTAAATTTAAAAAGGGAAACTTTCATTTTTCTTTTTGGGCTACCCTGCCTCTGTGGGATATGGCTGAACTGCAAGTTAAGGAAACAATTGCTCAAAATTTAAATGGCACAATCACACTTAAGGATAACTTACTTAAACAGAACATTGACATAACAATACAGGAATGTACATGGGAAATAAAATAGGAAGTTTTATATTGCAGAAGTGTGCAGAATGGCACAAAAATAATGAAGAAGTATAATTGCATGGAAAACACCACAGTGAAGAAGACTGGTTATTCAGAAAATGTAAAAATAATGACTTATGGGTACAGTATAAAAAAGATTAGGAAGGGAAACTACTTTCCTGGAAAAAATAATAAAAGGAAAATTTGATCAGATTCAATAAGTACCAATAGGAATATGTTATTCATAGCCAAAGATAATAGAAATATAGCATTAAACCTTAAACTTAGTATGATGTATATATTCTATAATTTGTGCAAAATATATATATAGAGAATTCTTTAAACTCAAGATCTATAAGTAAATTATTACTACAGAATATTTTGATCAATACATTCACAAACGCTTCATAACATGCATGAATGCTGCAGTGGCTTGGTTATCTCTTCAGAGCAAAATGTAGAGTAGTTAATTCTCTTAACATTCATATTTACAAGTACATATATTTATTAGTAAAGAATGTTTTGAACATATTGCTAGTATAGATACAGTATTTACAATTGTAGTTGCTGGCCAATATCCTTAGGTCAAGAGAGGGGCGAACATGTCTAGTGGCTAAAATATTATTTTGTCACTGCCAATTAACTATGACATTCAAAAGGATTACTTTCATTAACAAAAATAAGAGGAAAACAAGTGTAATGGTAATAAAGAAAACAGCCAGGTCTGTAGTCTTATATTAAGGTTAAGTGTACCATTACAGTTAAGCTGTATCGAACCAGTGGATGTACAGTGGACCCTCAATTAACGGCAGCATCAAGTAACGGCAAATTCGTCTAACAGCACTCTTTGGCGTAAATAAAATGGCTCTACCAACGGTGAAAAACTCATCTAACGACGTCTGTCCCGAACTTGTCCATGGGGCCAGAGCGTGGCCTGAGTGGGCCCAGCCACTCCAAAACTCCATGTACAGCCAGTGTGCCAGTGTTTACAAGCCGTTTTGGTCAATTCCAAGTGTACCTGCGATATTTTTTGTATTACTCCAGTGTCTTTAGTGCTTGTAACTGCTAAATAAGCCACCATGGGCCCAAAGAAGGTTTCTAGTGCCAGCCCTGTTATAATGAAGGAAAGAAACACAATAAAATTCAAGAAAAAACTCGTAATAAAGTACCAAAGTGGAGGAGGAAGAGAGAGGGGAGAATGTGCCTTCTGCAGTGATTCACTGATTCTACGATATGTACGATACTACAGCAGCAGGTATCGATAAAGGCTATAGTGCCAGCCAGCAATAAAGTGTAGAATTAACAGTGTAGCAAGTAAGTTAAGCAAGTAAGCGATAGAAAAATGACACGAAAGTAATTCTCCAATGTTGTTGATGTGTGTACATCCTCTGAACATATGCCAGCCTGCTATCTTCCACTACCCTAAACCTCTGCCAGCATCTCCTCCATCAAACTAACTAATTAAACTAACATCTCCAAGGTAAGTGTAAATATAAAAGTGTAAGCATAAGAGTAAATATATTAAGTGTAAATATAAAAGGACCCCAATGGAAATACATAAGTCACTCTGACTTTTTTGGGTTATCCTAGGTACTTTACACATATGCTGCTATGTATGATAATCTATGTAACTGTATTTGTGTATACCCGAATAAACTTACTTATTTATAAATTAAAATGCAAATATTTCTTAATAAATTAAAATGTAAATCTTTCTTATTTATAAATTAAAATGTAAATATTTCTTAGTTATAAATTACATACATTATTTAAGTGTGATGGTGATGCTGGCAAAATCCTCCACTGCCACCAACACAGCTTCTCTCAGTGGCAGCCCTTAAACCCAACAATAACACTTACACCATTTACTCCTCTCATATATTGACATATTTTATTCATTCTAGAGTATATATCATGTTTCCATTTTATTGTTTATGTCATATTAAATGAATTGTGATAGATAAATAAGCCATAGATGATATTACAGTAATATTAAAGCATAATAAACTTGTCTTCCTCTTGCCTCCTACGTGTCTTGTTATACACCAACATTATGACATATTTTATTCATTCTAGAGTATATATCATGTTTTTATGTTATTAATATTGTTTATAATGTCATATTGGATGAATTGTGATAGATAAATAAGCCATAGAGATGATATTAGCGTCATACTGAAGCATTATAAACTTGTCTTCCTCTTGCCTCCTACGCGTCTGTCATACACCAAGCTGAGTCAGTAAAGATAAGTCAATAAAGGTTAGTGTGATGTTAAATGTTCATTTAACCATTTTATTAGTGCTTTATATTTATTTGTCATTGCTTTCTGTATGTATATTTATATTTAATCTTTAAAAAATATTTTTTGTTGATACTTTTGGCTGTCTGACACAGATTAATTGGATTTCCATTATTTCTTATGGGGAAAATTAATTCGACTAATGGCTACCTCTTTGGAACGGATTAATGCCGTTGGTTGAGGGTCCACTGTATTCACCTAGGTATCTGCAGGGGTCGAGATTCAGCTCTTGTGCTCTGTCTCTGCACTTCAATTAAGTGGTGGGGCTCACTCCCTGTTATATAGGACACAGATTGTTATGCTAGATATATATTTGGCATAAAGGGACAAGATGCTTACCCAATTATGCCACACAGCAGTTCATTTAAGCTAGGCATGATTCATGCTTAATAGTGTCATGCTTAGTTCTCCACAGATGTTCTGATACACAGTGCCCAGTTTGAAGGTTAAAAGCTTAGAAATCTGATTGAAGAAAATACTGCACATGCATGAAACCCTCTCGACTTAAAGTCAAACAGGAATGTGGTTAAAGGGCCCAACAATAAGCAGTAAATATGTATGAAGCAGAAAGTAGAAGTTTTATTAATCTTCTTTCTACTTTCAACACATCAGCCATATCCCACCTAGGCAGGGTGGCCCAAAAAGAAAAGCAAAAGTTTCTCTTTTTAACTTTAGCAATATATACAGGAGAGGGAGTTACTAACCCCTTGCTCCCAGCACTTTAGTTACCTCTTGTGACATGCATGGCTTACGGAGGAAGAATTTTGTTCCACCTCCCCATGGAGATAAAAGGAAATAGACAAGAACTAGCAAGAACATAGAAGAAAACCCAGAGGGAGACGGCCGACTTGAAAAAAAAAAAAAAAAAAAAAAAAAAAAAAAAAAAAAAAAAAAAAAAAAAAAACATGCATGTGCAGTGTGACCTAAGTGTAAGTAGAAATACAAGATGTACCTGAAATCTTGCATGTTTATGAGACAAAAAAAGACACCAGCAATCCTACCGTCATGTAAAACAATTACAGACTTTCTTTTTACACTCACTTGGCAGGACGGTAGTACCTCCCTGGGAGGTTGTTGTCTACCAACCTATTACCTAGGAGCTTTATAAATCTTCTTTTAACAAACCAGCCATATCCCACCGAAGCAGGGTGGCCCAAAAAGAAAAACAAAAGCTTCTCTTTTTAACTTTAGTAATGTATACAGGAGAAGGGGCTACTAGCCCCTTGCTCCCGGCATTTTAGTCGCCTCATGAAACGCATGGTTACAGTGGAAGAATTCTGTTCCACTTCCCCATGGAGAAGCTTTATAAATATTACACAAATATGTAACATATGAGAGTGGATATAGGGATGAGTTGCATAGCTAAACAATGACATTCATATATTAATACAAGTTCCTTGTTAAAAGCTGTAGAAAGCAACACATTTTAATGAAACAACCTTTTCTAACAAAATTAAAACAGATAAATATAAAAGTCAAGGGACTAGTAACCCCTTCTCCTGTATATATTACTAAATTTAAAAAGGGAAACTTTCATTTTTCTTTTTGGGCTACCCTGCCTCTGTGGGATATGGCTGGTTAGTTGAAAGAAGAATATAAAAGTATTTCCTTGGTGGGGAAACAACCAACGTATTAAAAAAGAAAAAAATAAGCAATCAGCCACTTTTCCCTTCCTCTTCCCATATTTCTCTTTTTGTTTCTTTCAAGTAGTATCACAATCCTAATTCCTTACACAATTTTTTCCATACTACTTTAACTATTTTGCATACACAGCATGT